TAATTGTTTTGAGTAGTGAAATAAAAAAAAATGGACTTTATACAGGCTGTTCCATCTAAACTCTCCCGTTACATCGGAAGTATAGAAAGCTATGTTATTGCGTTTTTGGTTGGATTACAATTATATATTCGCCAAAAGAAAGATCTAACCTTTCTCTTTCATATGCTCAAATGCGATTTCAAAATAATGAAAAATGGTAGAGATCGATTTTAGAAGAAAGTGCAAATTCAAAAAATTTCAAAAAACTACTTAATATTTTGTAAACGGTTGAACTTAGGTACAGGGAAGGCTAATAAAAACTTTCTTAAAACCACTTGAGTAATCCAAAAATACAATAAAAAACATGCTTTTCGACTTCAAATAAGAAAGTTGATACTCACTTCCGTTGTAACCGGAAAGTATTTTTATTTAAAACAGCTTTTATCAAAAATATGAAACAGTTTCTTGCTTTGAAATAAAAAAAAAATGGTAATCTAAATATAATTTGCTTTACAATACCATGACTTACAAAAATAGATTTTTTAATTTCTTAAATATTTGATATTTTGATGGTACCTAATTTTATTAGAAAATGAATTTTTTTATGCCATTTTTGGAAATTGGTTAATAGTTTTTTAGAGAAAGAAAAAAAATAAGTCTTAGTTTTGTTAATTAAAGAATTCAGTTGAAAAATTTTAATTTCAGTTGCTTCTAATTTGATGATAGAACATTGTTTGTATTTGATTCATTATGCAAAGCATTCCGTAGCATTATCGCAAATGGCTAACTAAAAATACCACCGATTTTTATCTTGTGATTTAACGATTACGTCGCGGAATGCCCACCGCTCGTCATATTGAATATCTGAATGAATATTCCCATAGATGTTGCGTCTTCTGCATGCATTCCTTTTTCTTCCTAGAAGCGTAACCATGACGCAGCACAACAGCGTGTGATTATTAAATGAACCTTTTGTTGTTATTTTAGTTTTTGCATCTTGAAACAAAATTGTGACCTAGTAAGCTTATAAAGTGCTACCGCCGCGCCGTGTTTATATCGAACTCATACAATAAACTCCTGGGAAATATTTAGTCGACCGATTTACGAGTAGTTTACGACTTGAACGAAATTCGATATTTTTAAAACAATGTAATTCGGGGTTTATTATTTCATGCGAGTTTGGAATAAGACGTTAGACGAATTAGAGTGTTCTAGGAAAATCTGCAAACGCGACATAATAAGCGACTAAAAAAAGGAGTCATCATTTTTAACTTAATATAGAACACTTTTTGTTCAAGGTTATTACAAACGTTACATATTTAAAAATTAATGATTTTAAATGATGTTTCGATTCTTGGAATTTATGTATTAGGAAAGTTCCAGATGACGTTATTAATGATGGAAGTTGGGATAATTTTGCTCGATTCGGAAATGAACTGTTTCTGTCATTCATAAATTAACCTGCAATTAAGATAAAAGGATGTTGTTTAATATCTTGGCACGCGTCTGAAGTAAGTCTGGCGATAAAGTATGTGTATTTGGTTAAGTGGTGGCGCATCGACTTACTCCGACATTTCCGGTATGTTAGTTGTCTCTAAGTACTTAGTCTTACCTGTTTCCGCTTCATACAATACCCTCGTCTGTGTACCCATTTGGAAAAGTCAATAGCGAGCGTTAAAAATCGGGGAATTTCAATAATGTGACTCAATTCGTTGGAATTTTGACAGTGGCGGATTTACACTTGTAGGGACCAAGGACCAAACTTGGGACTCTTTAGGTAAAAAGGACTAACTGCAAAGATTATTTCAAAAACGCAATTTTTCTATTTGTGTATACTTTTGGTCGTTACTTTAAGCTACAAAATACGACATACAGAATGAACAAAAAGTTTAAGGGTGACAGACGGATTGATTAAAATGGAAGAACATTAAACAGTAATGGTATTGTTATAATTTTCTTATTCAATATTCTTTCATTTTAAAAGGAAACCTCGCCCTCCTAAGATCAACTGCATGAAACAACGTTTTCGATTAAGTTTGGAAGGTTTTTGTTGTGAGCTCGGAACGTAATTTTAACAATTAATTAAAAAATCTTGATGGTTGTTATTTATAGATCATAGTTTTTTTATCAAAAATTTTTCATAGCAGAATACCATAAAAAATTGAGTACATTAAAACAGATATTTCTGAAAAATGACGATTATACATACATTTTTACAGTACTTTATAAAGTACTAAACATTTTTGTCGAACAGTAAATAGCATATAACACTTGGTATCATACATATTGTAATAAAAATAATGGCATGTATTGTTGTATCGATTAAAATAAGTGCTGTTTTGACCTAAAGAAGAAGTCTTTAATAACAATTTCTTTTGCTTATTTTAATTTAATCTCAATTTGAAAATTGACAAATCCAAATTAATATTGAGATTGTTGATCGTTTCAAGGGCCGCCTTAAGCTGTATGTTAAATGTTAATGTGTTAAATGCCTATACATACTAAAATTAGCTATTATACTGCTTAAATACTAATTATGTATTAGATTTTTAATTTTGGAATATGTAGTACTTTTGTATAGCATGTTTCTATTAAAACATTTTTGGATAATATTTTTTTTAATAATACTAATTTACCGTAAGATTTTAATTTTGAATTTATAATTAACAAAATATAAAAACAATCAATGGAAAAATATACATCATAAGCTCGATTATGTGAACTAATTAAAAACCAGAGGTGTTTATAAAATCGAGAAAATTCACCCAATCGAATTTAGTTTTTGTTAAACTGTTTATTGCTTAATTGATAAAAAACAACACGAAAACAATAAACTAATTGGTAACAGCAAAATATTTATTAGTCAGTTTAGGTTGTTTAACGTTTTCTTTTAGAGAATTTCTTAAAGTTAAATTTCTAGTTTTTCTGAGAATTAGTAGGTCATGCACATTTTTTCACTTCAAATTAAAATTTTGCCGAACGCTAAAACAGCTTCGGCTGCTGTTACATTTTTTGGTGCTATCATATTTGAACTTATGTTATTTTCTTCGTCTGATGTACTTTCTCCTTCGTTTCCTTCATTTTCATATTTATCCTTATTCTAATCTTCAATATTTTTACAAATAATTACAAAAAAAACCAAAATATGTATTAGTACTCCATTAAATAGTAGATTACATACCGAAGTGGGACGTGCTTCATTACCATGACGAATGCGCAAAGTGTTGCAGTTTTAATGAGCCGAGATACGATAAAGCACCGACCACCAAGGTGTATATACTATTTTATTTACACTTATCCTCCTTAAAAAACAGAAATGTAATAAAAAAATTATCACATTTAAAAAAAGTGGTCACTTTCTTATCAGTTTTCGGGTTGGGAAGTGGCCATTTCATCCTAAATGTATATTTCATATCAGTTGTTAAATGAAGTTGAAATGTTATACTTTTCAACTTTTCACATACAAGGTAATTTAATTATTACTTTATGATTGTGAATAAACAATTTTAATTAATCATTAATATCTTTTAAATTTACCATATAGGTAGATACTCGTTCATATAGTAAATAAAATAAGCAACAAGAAAAGACACAAGTTGTTCACTATATTGAATAGTGTGTGTAATTTTTTTGTCGTTCATTTAACTGGAAAGTTTACTTAGTCGAGCATAATTTACTGCAAATCTAAACAAGGTTGTACTTAAAGGCTGCATTATATAAAATATCCCAAGCTATAACTTTATTATTATTATTAAAAGTATGACAACACTTTTTTGATCAAAGTTGACCCGTGTATTGTGGGTATTTTTTGGGACACTCGACTAATACCACTTTCTTTTTTAAAACTGGGCAACATTGTTCCAAAAAGTATTGTCATCTAATTAAAAATAATGGAATTATGGCTTGGGGCGTTTTTTAAAATCCAGCCTGCATAATAAATTAATAATACTTAACAAGAAAAAAAAATAACTTTAATATCGTCATTTTGCTAGATTTTCTAGCCCAGTAAAATCTAATGGCAGTTACTTTATTTTGTTTTGTTTTGGATTACTAATTACAAAAATCCTATGATTCCTATGAGAAAAATATTTGAAAATCGATGTTTTTAAGGCACTTTTTGTGTTGTCCCCTGGACTAAAAATAACAGCTAAATCACTATATTTGTGCAATATATTGCTTAATTCCTCACTTACTTTTCATTTTATTTTGTGATGTTTATGTATTAGTAACAGAGAGGTTTATTTTTGCGACTGTTTTTTTTTGTGATGGGTACATCCGCCACTGACATCCGAGGATTCTCTTTCATTAGGAAAATGTTGATTGATTTTGATTTTTTCAACTAGTAGACCCCCGTGCCGAGTATTTTACGGAGGGACGAGAATGCGTGAACTGTGGTGCCATTGATACCCCTTTATGGAGAAGAGATGGTACTGGGCATTACCTGTGCAATGCTTGTGGCCTTTACCACAAGATGAACGGCATGAACCGGCCCCTTGTCAAGCAGCCTCGTAGATTGGTACTTTTACACTTATATGTCTATCATCATGTCCTAATTCGCCGGTCGACCGAACAACATTTCTGCATGTCATTTGGGCAATAATTGCATGACTCATTTAACCTTAGGTTTAGCGATAGTTTCGGAAATTTTTATTGGCTCACGGCAGGAAATTTTTTCGTCTTGCTACCGTTGTTCGGTCTTCTGATGCGAATTAATTGTAAGCGTAAAACACCCCCGATGTGCGAGGCAAAGCTGCTACAGTCGGTTCCTTTTTTATCATATCTACCAAGATAAGCCTAACCTCCCTGTTTATTTGCGTTGCAGTGGCGGCAGAGCCAGGCCACGGGGGTGTTCCTGATTACTACAAGAACTACTACCATGGGTATAATGGGGCCAATAGGGCCCCGGCTTTGCACACCACCGAAGAAAAATCCAGTCGTCGTTTGGTAGGTTCACCTCTTTGACCAAAAGCACTCTCTCTCTTTCTTTACTTCTTACAATACCACAAAACTGCTTCCAAAATAGACTAAATTTTTATCAAAAAACGGTTTAGAGGGCTGTATTGACAGGTTTTTTTAATATCATATACAAACTTTTTGTGTATAACTTGACGTTGAACATTCATCTAACTTTATTTTTTACCAGATAGTTATTAGAATTTGTAAAATTTCGTCTTAAGTAAAGATTAGTCTATTTCGATGGAAAAAATATTTTGCCACACTACTTTAATATCTATTAAATAAAAAAATGTGTGCAGTGGCCCCATCATACCCCGTATTAACACAAAGGTTTTGTCTTGTTCTTCCCTACTTGTACACTAACATTTTTCTTTTTCAAAAATTTAACTAACAAATCTTTTAAAATCATTTTAAAAACGCATCTATAAGCACATTTTTCTTAGCTAATGATTAAAATGTTATGAGTGTCGATAATATCATTTGTGTTATGTTTGATGTTTTGCAGTTTTTCAGTCATTTAATTAATAATTATTTAGTCGAAATACATTTTATCAAAGAATAAATTTTTGACAAAATACTTTTGGTTTTTGCTTTAACATAACATTTAATCATGATGCTGTACAGGGTGTCTAAGTTTTAGGGTCGAAGCAAAAATAAATATTTCTAATTAGTGGAAACGATAGAGGATTATACAAGGTGCGCCAGAACTCGCGACCCAGAGAAAAATTTCAAGTAAGATAAGATACCAGGAACATGGCAAAAATGTTTAAAAAATTCTATCTGTCAAAAAAATTTGACATTTATTTTTTGACATTTGACATTTTATAATGTCTATTTAATGATACTGATGATCTTGTATTTGTTTTTATACAATTATTTAATAAAGGTACAAAAATTTTGACAATACAAGACACAAATAACGTTAAACTGAGTTACAATTTAGGATACAGCTTCCTTCTTTCCTCTTCTAAGAGTCTGTAGCAAAAAAAATTGGAAAATATTTTTTTCAACAGAAATAGAGTCAAAATGCAAAACTTAAACTCTTATAGCTTTGAAATTTTTATATATAAATTTTTTTTTAACATTTTTTCCATGTTCCATCCTACCGTATATGGCATTTTTTTCTGGGGCGCGAGTTCTGGCTCACCTGTATAGACCCTGAAAACCAAATTTGGATTTTTTTTAATTAATTGGATTCTTTTCTACATGATAAAATTCCTTGATTTTTTCTGATAGTAACTGTGAAAATTGAATAATGTAAAAGTTGATGGAATTTGAATAATTAAAATTTTAATAGTGAAAATTGGGAATTCTGTTAAATTTATGGACAAGCTTGAGATTATGTGCTGCTATTGCATTGACAATAGAGGGGAGGCTTCACAATAGAGCCCTGGTATGTCATAAATGTCATTGCGGATTTTTTTGTTTTGTCAAGATCACCAATTACCGCAAACTCCCCATAAATTATTCCAAGTTTCAAATTTTCAATATTAAAATGTTAATTATTCAAAACCTATCAACTATATCACTTCTATTTTCACAAATACCACAGAAAAAAAGCAAAGAATTTTATCATGTAGAAAATATTCCAGTTAATTGAGATTTTTTTTCTTCAAATTTAATTTTTAAGATCTCACTTCCATACGCTAAAAATTTTGCACAATATCAAAACATCAAATTAAAGAGGATTTAATCTTCTATCGTTTACACTAACAAAATTTTTTTTAATCAATAAGAAATATTTATTTTTGATCCGGCTCTAAAACTTGGGACGCAATGTGTTTTTATTTTAATTTCATTTTTTTCGATTGTGTTGTTAGTCTGCTTCTCGTCGAGTCGGTTTAACTTGCACTAACTGCCACACAAGTACGACGTCTCTTTGGCGAAGAAACACTGTTGGTGAGCCCGTCTGCAATGCTTGCGGACTTTACTTCAAACTCCATGGAGTAAATCGACCGTTGGCAATGAAGAAGGATAGTATCCAGGTACTGCTGCCACAAATCACAATTTTGGGCCAATTTTAATTGAATTATTTTAGACAAGGAAACGGAAACCCAAAGGGAGCAAGGATAGCAACACCCGGCATGCCATATCCAACGCCCTAGAGTCTACAATAAATAATATTAAGTTGGAACAAAACTTACCATCTGTTAAATTAGAACATTCTTCCTTAGGTTGGTTATTTTTAAACTTTAATTTGAATAAATCTTATAATTTGTTTGTCTGCAGAGAATTATAATGATCTGAGGTCTATAGTAACATTGAACCACGTGCCGCACAACACAACCTCGAATTACGTTTACAACAATCAATCTCATCAGAGGATGTCTCCTTACACATCGCAGTCATCACAAATCACTAATAATTATTTCGACATGATTCCTCAAGCGAGTCCCAGTTCACCCTCCACGACATCACCGAGTCCCAATTCTCCACTTATTGCTAACAATAACAACAACAACAACAACACGAAAGTGATTATGAATGGAGATAATAATATGGAGAGACCCACAGTAGTAACATTGTCCTCATAATTGTTCTCTGAAATACCGTATCATTAGTCAACGTATAAAAATACATAATTATTGCAATAATATAAATATGCTTAGGGTTATTTTACCGATAAGTTGTTTTTAGGTATTTAACGAGTGTCGTCTGTTATCCTATCTTTTATTGGAAGAGATCTCTAATTTTTTATTATTTTGACCTGTTGATCAGATTCGTAATTGGCTGTAACATGAGAATATAATTTATGTAACATGACAGTTTAGAAACTAAATGTTTTTGTTAAATAGCTTTATTCATAAGATTATCGAAATTTAATAAAAAAATGTGATAGGGAAATAGATATTTTGCGGACATTTATTGAGAAAGAAGTTAAGTACAAAGATAGTTTGTTAATTGTATATTATATATACTTAAAAGGAAAATTTCTCTGAAATTACCAAAGACAATTGTAGTTTTTTCAACACTAGGTTTAATCTTCTCAAATATTATTTTGCTTATAAGAGTTAATTGTTTTTTTTTTGACTGATTTGAATTTACACAAAACATTTGTTTACAAAAAGGTCTGATGTACATTATTTAGATCTTTTTATTAAGAGTGTTTATTCTAATCATTTAGAAGTTAAGGATTTTTGTTTTATGGATTATATTTTGTTGTATATCTCTCTTATTTATTGTCAGTTATTTTGAATTGTGAATCCACATTCCGAGTACTTGTACAGTTCGTATATTTGTAAGGTTTAGGTTCTGTAGATATTTTGCATATATTTTATATACAAACACTAAATAAATTTTCTTCAAGTTATTTTTTAATTTTTTGTATAATCACATTTTTAAATTTTACACATTATTATTGGTTATTTACTGATATTATTATTTTGTACTGCTTGTATATTATTTCATAATAAAATAATTTAATCTATAGAATACTATCTTTATTAAACTTACTCAATTCATTTTCACGACTAGTAATACAAGAAACATTAACAATAATTTAATAAAAAAGTCTTAAGCATTACAATTTTTGTCAACTAATACAAAGTAAAAATTAAGAGTTTCAAGTTTCGTACATTTTAGTCACTTATTAAATGTACAAAGTGATCCACAATGAATGAATCTGTTGGCAATCCTGACTCCTGATCATTGGAGTATGCTTTTGATTAACAACAATTCCACAATCTCGAGGAGCTGCACGTCAAGTATTTGTCAAGCAAAACCGTATACGGTTACTGTGTTTCGAGTTATACTTTCAAAGCTGTTACCAACAGACACAGACTTTCTGGATCACTTCGTAGTATTAAAAAATTGTACCTACAACCTATCAAGTTAGTTATTAATAAAAAAATCAATATCAGCATAGGTTGAATACTCAGTTCATTCAATTGCTCAATAGCTCAATTAAAATGGTTATCAAGGAGTATGGAGGAGCTTGTTTATGTCAAGAAACACTCAAAAAATACCAGATTATTAGTCAAAAACGAGGGAAAAAAACGTATTTTCTCTTGAGAGGAAAAATATATATTCTAATCAGTATCAATAAATAAATTACGGGAAATAATCATAATTAAACAATAATTTAATGCTCAAGTGGTTCAACTACTTTTTACAATCAGAATTAGATGTGACATCATTTATCGATTATTTATTATACATATGATGAACAAGAAATGTAGAAATATGTACAATTGCATTATTGATTTAATGATTAGGTAGGTACATAGGTTACATACATATTGTTTTATAAAGCTTTCATTTGGGTAGCTATTTACAGCACACGTAATAGTTATTGATATCAATTTTTATCTTGATGTAGAACTAAATCAGAAATAACAGGAAGAATGATTTCATACTCGAAGTATACCTGCTATAATTTTTTAGCGACTGATTTGACTTTTAGATACTTTTAGGCAGTCGATGGAAAAAAAAAACTGGGACAAAACTTGACTCGTTTGGGTATCAAACTTTTGAATTCTGACGCAAAATAAAAATTGTTAGTTTATGTATAATACAACAAGTAGTCAAAAATTGTCGAATATTTTTATGAATATAATCATCGCTTTATAAACACCATGAGTGCGTAACACGATTATGATTATATCGTGTGATACATCGTTGTAATTAGGAACAAAAAGAATTTTCAAAAATACAGAAATCAAATATGGCGTCTTTTTGATTAATCAAATTTTAGTTGCTGATGAAAATTAAGAAAAAGCGTTTTTGAGAAGAGTGCTTTGGAAAAAACTAAAAAACCCCAACAATTTTAATTAAGAAACTAGACAGTTAGTTAAATTTGGATCTGGAAGTCACATTTCTTATCAAGATTACCTTCTTAAAAACTAAGGTTTTGAAATAGGAACAACGTGATAAACTAGAATTTATTTTTCGCAAAACAAAACAACACAAAGTTATAAAAGATGCTCAAATGCACCACCTTCAAAATTTAATTTGTTAATTAAAATTGTTGTCCTTTTTTCCAGAGCATTCTTTCTAAAAACGCTTTTCCTTAATCTTAAATAGCATGTAGAATTTGATCATATCGTGTGATACATTGTTGTAATCAGAAACAAAAAGACTTTTCAAAAATAGAGAATTCGAATATGGCCTCCATAAGAAAATCTAAAGTTGAGTGTTGTAACTCTGACATCAACAGCGCCTTGGAAAATTTGATGACAGATTTAGATTTCTTGTAAAAAAATGCACTAAGAACGTCCTAGTTAAAAACGTCTAGGTCTTTTTTTTTCTTTTCGCTTGAAAAAATAAAAACGAAAATTACAAATTTCCGGTTTTTTTACAATAATTCAAAAATAAAAATAACACATTAAATTTTCTTTCAGATTATTGTTCAGCACAAAAATGCGCAACTTTGCCCTAATTTAACCGACCTCGTATCTCGTTGCATAAATTTCGATTACCCTTTCGTAAAATGGTCAATAAAATGGAAAATTGGATCGAAGTGATTCTACAATCATTCGAGCATGGAGAAAGGAGTAGGAGGGAAAGTGGTCCTAAAAGTGTCCGAAAAGAGGCAATTTTTATCTTTTCTTTTTTATTATACTGCCAAACTAAATGACTTCTTAGTGATATTTTATAGTGTTTATTTGCTATTCGATACTATAGTGATCCAGTCTGAATATGCTTTATGAATTCACAAAAATGGTTATACTCGTATATTAGCCGAAATGATAATTCGCAGAACGTGCTTATACACGCAAAACAAAACCCCATAAATAAAATCACCAACGATATGGACACATATCGTTTCAGTCATGCGAGGGACTGAAACCAGTTGCTCATTTAGGTCTTTCCAGAGTGTTGTAAAATAAAGAGATTGAATTGTTGCGTTTTGTAATTACAATTTATTTAAATAAGACGTGTTGTGTCAAATAAGTTGCAACAAACATAAGTCAGGTGACGTTAAGCGCGAGAAAGTTTTGGAAACCCCCGGATAAATTTAAAAATTACCGAAGACATACAGTTTTTTCTACAAGAAAGTTTATAGTTGGTTAAAAAAATGTTTGTTATGGAGAAGCTAAATCAAAATGTAAATAATCGATTGATTCCGGAGACACATTTTATATTTGAAAAACCGGATTCACCGGAGCCGTGGCGACTACCGAGACAGGGAACAAGCAAAAAATTCCGTAGGTATACTTTTACACACTGCAATCTTTTTATTGCTATTCACTCAAAATAAGTGTAGATATCATCTTCCAATAACTTACATATTTTGAAAATTTGTTCTTACTTAAATTATTATCAGTGGCGAATTTACGCTTTTGAGCGCGAGTCAATTCCTATATTATACCTATGTGTTTTTCGGATAATAAAAACATGAACTAACATTACAAATACTGTGTTAAAATTTAAAAAATATTAACAACCAGTAAACAGTATGTTCACCCCAATAACAACTGACACTATAATAAAAAGATATTGTATCTATTTTAGTATACTTAAATAATTAACAGCAAAACCTATAATAAATATAAAATGTAAAACAACATTCTAGAATAAATAAATTTAAATAAAAAATATTCTCAAAATAAAAACGTAAAAATCATGGTAAAAAAGAAGAGGTTTTTACAGAAAATATAATTTAATTTTTGATTTACTCCAATTATAAGTTATAGGTACTTGTTTTTCTAAATTTGTTTGTTTTACTTTTTGGGGTCTTTCTAGATGCGCGAATTCTGAAACGAAGAACACTGTTGGGAAACTACAGGTAAATATAATGAATAAGGGTATCACATGCAAAGAGGTAATAATCAGAAATCGGAATTTACTTGTTATAAAAACTTATTATAGGACGTATAAATAAGACAGAGGAGCGAGAGGTAGTGAGTGCTATTTAATTACAAAAGTAATAAAATCGCCAACAATGGCCAAGAGTAAAAATGGGTAGCTTAACATGATAATTTGATAATACAGGGTGTTTCACACAACTTTACGAGGCTTACTCCTAAGGTACGCACCCAACTATACAAAAGTCACAAAAAGTACCCATCGAATTATTTAATTTTTAGAAACCCATGACAGCAGTTGTCAAACTAATCTCTGTTTCATTAATAGTCATTAACTGCTGCAGTTTTTCTATCATTTGTTCTGTCAAGAGACGGCATGAATATGATTCTAGTTCGTTTGTATGTCTTGTCTAAATTGTTAGGTTTAATAAAATACCTATCAAGTTATTTAAGATTATAATTATTAAATGGTAAATTCGGGGATGCTGGGTCCTCGAATGTCTTTGGAACCCAAGCCATTGTCATTCAGACAGACAGTAATTCATACTACACCATTAATTCAAAGATTTTATTTGCTGAAAACTGTACAAATTGAACCAAATGTCTTATTCAAAATTCAAAAATTCAAATAGTTATAGATCACAAAGTTGCGATTTTTGCATTATACAATTTGTCTGGAACACGCATAAAACCAGATCTTTTTGATGATTTCAGCCATTACAAATGCGTGCGAAATTACAAATCACGTGATTTATTCCATCTTCATTGCATAGCAACGTAAAATAATCGCTATTGGTTGTTGACATTAAAGGGCGTGGCGCGTGGCAATAACTAATGAAAACTTCTATTATTTTAGATTTAATTATTAATTTTTGTACAAGAATACATAAGAAAGGACATAAAAAATAAAAAATGTTTTAGTCATTTCAACAAAATAAATCATTCTTTATAAATAGAAACTTGTCATTGCTGTTACCCTTACATGTCAGTTGGTGATAAGTTATCTCTCACCTATCAATACCTTTATTTACATTCAATATGGCGGTTTCTTCTCTTATTCGATTTCATCTAATTAGTTGAGTTTTATTAATTGCTTTAAACACACGTTTGAAGCACTGTTTAAGTATTACCTACATTTCGAAACTTTGAAGAAAAAATTTGTCACCTCTTATTTAACACTTATTTAACACGATATTTGGTGAGTAGACACTTTTTTACACGTTTTTATGCTTTTTTATTACTTTTGTTCTGCTTTATAAAATATCTGTCGACATCTAAAGTAATACTGCTGATATTTTTGTATCAGCCCTTAACTGCTTGCTTTAACTGTTAACATATCACCAGATAGAACATAGATAGATAAAAGTTTCACAAGCAAGCTTATTTATTGATGAAGGTGTTATGACATACTTTTTTTAAATAGGTATTTTTTTAACCTTTTCTCTGCAACTGTTTAGGAATAATTTTAGAAAAATGGGTGTTTGGCATCTAGAGTTAAACTTTTGTACTTTGTAAGTACATATTTTGTTTTATCTTTTCGCATATTGACTAAAAATGATGCTAATTGTGAAATTCATTTTGCCACGTCATTCACGTCAGAGGGTGAGGCATTTTTGCAAAAAAATAGATTAAAATCAAAAGTAATTTAGATGTTATCAGAACAAATTTAGATTAAATTGTTTACTATAATTATGTATTTTATTATACCCAGAAGAGATACGTTGTACAATATACACCTACCTAGCGATTTGAGGTTAAGGACATTATATGTAACAAGATAGCATTATCTTCATCATAATATTTAGTAAGGAATTCCCCCCTATATAGAAAAAATATTCAAAATTATATTTTTTTGTAAAAATAGATGAAACAGTAATTGCCATCTTGTTTTATCGCATCACAAAATGGCGCCTGCACGAGTTACATTGGTTTTATGGATCAGTTAAATGTGAGACAGAGTCGCGGAAACATCTATTTAACTAAAGCTATAAGTGATTAGGTGGTTTATTGTTCAGTGAACACACGTTACTTTGGTAAGTACAAAGCAAATTAAAAACGAATATTTTTTTAGAAATGATATTTTTAATTTACCTTCCTAGTGCCGGTATATTTAATTCTTATATTTTTTTCTAAAAAAACACATTATATTGTAACTTTGAAAATTATTTTCATTTATGACCGCTTCGCTTGAGCGGTTGTAAATTTAGGTGACAATGAGACAATGGAAATGGAATTGAGGTAAGATGGTAAAATTTAAAGCTGTAAACGTTTGACTGCAAATTTTCTCCTAAAATCCAACCCAATTTTATGACGAGGTTTAAGTAGGAGTTTTACTATAGTAAATGATTCTTTGGTTGGCACATTTATCATTTTGTCATTAATGTATTCTGTTGGTTTACAAAAACTGTTACTGAATAAATTGAGTAAAAGGAATTGAGATTTTGGCCATCTCGGAGATAGGGTTGCCGCACCCACTATGACACAATTTTAAAAAGAAGACGTCGGCCCTCATGTTATCTAAGAGTAATTTTGTGATGGTAACCATTGATCCTTGACTTTACAAAAAGAATAATTTTTATATCAATGCCCCGCCCTTACGTGGTTACTAATGAAAAGCTGTAATTAAAAGAAGCGTAGGTTACACTGTTACATTTTTGAAATGTCACGTTGAAATTTAGTTGAAATTAAAGATTAAATCCCAATTTTGTGATTTTTACATTTAATTATATGCATGATAGCCATCACGATTTTTTGACGAGTTTTTGTCATTGACGTTTATTAAAAAAAATATTTTTATTTTTTTAATAAAAATGTTTGTCCAAGAAGTTGAATACAAATCTTGTGTGTTAACTATTTTTCGTTATCCCGTACTGTTATTTGAATATAACGGAAGTGAAATGAAAAGTTATTTTTAACAGCCTCCGTCTTTTAAGGATTATAACAGTCGTCAGTCATTAACAACCATGATAACTACCTTCATGATGTTGCGATTGATTTTATGACATTGCAGGGAAATTACTGTGTCAGGAATGAGATTACGAAAAGTCTTGAACGACACACGGCCGATACCAAATAACAGATTCGGTTGATTATAAACCTTATCTGTTATTTGGTTCATATCGGCCTTATGACACTACTATAACTATTACGCTACGTGTCGTTTCACCCTGTAAAAATGTTAGTTGCCACACGCACATGTAAATAACTATTATTCATAATCACTAATGTAATATGCCGATTATTAACTTGTTAAAGGGTGGGAAACACAGCATTAAATCTCATGAGGAGTAATAATATTACTTCTCTTTGGCGGTAATATGCAGGATAGCCAACCTTAAAATTACAAAAATACCGGGAATTTTTTCTTCCAAATTGTCAAGTTACGCATAATACAGGGTGTTTCACACAACTTTACGAGGCTTGCGCCTAATGTACGCACCCAGATATACAAAAGTAACAAAACACTAGATACAAAAAATACATCTTTAATTATTCAATTTTTGGAAACCCATGACAGTAGTCAAACTAATCACTGTTTCATTAATAGTCATAAATTACAGTTTTTCATAAACAAAATATCATTTGTTCTATCAAGACACGGCATGAATATGATTCTAGTTCATCTATCTTAATCACTAATTCACTAAAAACGTTGTAATTTATGAAAGGGGTGAACAAACTAGAGAAGATTATCCAATTTTTCAAAATTTGTAATCAAGTTCGTATCGGAATATGTATTATTGATTGCATCTTACAGGCGCAGGTCTCGAAAAAATTACGTGAAACACCCTGTATTTTGCTAAATTAGTATTCAATTGCTTTTGTAGCAGTTTCTCTTACTTCTGGGGTAGTACACTGTTCCATTTCGACGATTTTAAATCTGATTCACACATTATTTCAATATCTTCTTTGACATTGCTGAAATGTCAAAAATCAAACGCCATTTGGATGGCCTACCACGTTTGGAGCTTAACTTTGTTAGAATTTTATTTTACGTTTTTATAAATAGCCGAACGGCGTATACTTTGGTAAAGATATAAAAAATTCTACACTAAAGTACCTAAGCGGTGCAAGGTGGTGTATTTTTGCGGTAAAGTTTCTAAAAACGACAAAATTGATCGTTAAAATAAAAAATAGAAATTTGTTTTTAAAAATACAACACATTCGTCTTGAATCTAAACGCATCGTGAGATCTTTTTATTTTTTATTTGGTCTTTCATTTTGATTTTAGGGCACAACTCGATATGATTTGTTTTTTGTTATAAAATTACTTGAAGCGTACTTACTCTTTGTGTCGACACAACCGGATTAAAATAAAACGACCAAATTCGTTACAAGATATTAATTAATTACTTCCCTGGCGTAGTTTTTTTAGGTAAAATAGTAAACAAAACTCAATTTTATATTGCTTTTGTACCGGAAGTCTGTGTAAAAATTTATTCTACAAAACGATTTCTCAATAAACACTGTAGATTTAAAAATTTTGCTTTATATATGATGGTTGATGCAAGTAGAAAACGGTTATCTTTAAAGTTAAAATTAAATCAATGAAAACATATTATTTAGGATAAACAATTTTTATTGTTGAAAGACGAAATTGCTTAAAATTTGCACTATATTCTTCTATACTAGCAGAAGCAAGAACATAAAGAATATTTACTCAAGTTTTTAAATTCATAATTTGAGTAAAAACTTTGCATTTTTTTATAAAATATTCGAAAAGCACCCAAAATTCCACTGTGTGTACTTATAGAAGTAATCTAAGGTTCTCACTGGTTCTGTGAAAAATAACTGTTTAAACAACAACCTAATGGTTAGGTAATAATTATAAGTGTAAGTTGCATATTTTAAGAACGCATTAGTGCCTATGGTGATTCATTTAGCAACAATATTAGAAAGATAGATAAGATAATTGTACCTAGCCAACTAGCCTTGAATTGGATTAAGGTAAATGAGACATTTTCACCAATTTCCGTTGTTATGACCACATGCAATAACACATTTTTGATAAATCCTGCTATTCGCGTGGCGGGAAACGGATATGTTGTTCAAACACATCTCACCTTCCGCCGATCCGTTCGTAGCAACCAAGTCAGAAATCTGAGAATAACGAAACTGTCGTACAGAAAATCTTTATTTTGTAACATGTTGATAAAAATTAACGCTAAATATTTGGCCGACTGTGCATGGCGTATACGCTTTACACACACATCCATTTCCAACACGCCTCAATTTATCTCTGTTTGCTCAAAACTGTTTGCAACGAGTTAAAATAAACCAGAGTTTAGTACGTCGTGTAGTCAAATTAAATGGTCTATATAAACCATATTTCTTTTTAAAACAATTGTTTCCTACTCCAGGTCATTGCTTCCTCCTTTTCTCAATTCGCACCTAGTCCGCGATGGAGCCGAACGAACAAGAGGAGGTAAAAGCAAAACCTCAGGAAACCACCGAAACAGAACAAGCGACCGCAAGTGTGATAATCCGGCGCCAAGTCATAACCACCGCTGGAACAATCGAAGATAACATCGAAGACCCACGAATTGAACAAATAGCCGGCGAAGAAGTCGTCAACACCTCTGATTCGCCAGTGCAACAAGTGGCGTCTGAACAAGAACAGAACAACGTGGTTCAAATTGTCCAGTATGAAGAACAACCAACTTCGGAACAAAATTACGAAGAAGGTGCTCAGCAAGTGTTCGTGTGTACCACTGAAGGATATTCGTCTCAAGCCGAATATCCACAGCAAGAAACAGTGGCTTATACGACGCTTAATATTCCTGCAAACGCTCAAGCGATTGCGACGATTGAAACAACTGAATATGCGGATTTAGATAGTGTTAACAATTCTACCTACAATGACCAATATGCCGGGAATGATGCGGCGCAATATATTCAGCACTATCCTGCTGATTATGGAAGTTATCCAGGACAAAGGACTGGAGCAGAAAGCCCACAAACGGCACTCTTTAGAAACACCGACCCAAATCTTGCCTCATCGAGATATTCAGTAAGTACAGATTTTATCTTATGCGACAATGGGGTGAAATGAGATGTATTTTGCTAAAAAAAGTATAATACTCGTTATGTGTGTTGGGTCTGCGAAATTGTTGAGTATTAGATATCCTAAGGACACAATTATAACATTAATGTGGACTTATTTTTGTCAAAAATAAGTTTAAATTTTTGCAATTGGTAAATGTAGCTCTCATATCTAGTGATAAAGCAAAAATATGGCTTATTGCAGCTGTTTTAAATAAATAAGTTGAAAATAATATAATAGTTATTTATTATACAAGACGATAAAATTGAATTTTATCTTTGAGACCAATTTAGCTTTGAGGCGTTAGCTTATATGCTCGAAAATATAATGAAAATTTTGTCGTCGTGTACAATATAAAATTTGATTCAATCCTTACTAATTTTGTAGTCAATTTGGTCGATATTCATAAATGTCAAAGTCAAATTCAACAATGAAATCTAATGTCAAAGATCGTTACCAACTAACAACCGCAGATATACAACAATGGATGTATTTTTTATCATCTAGACGATAAAATTTTATTTTAACATGAAGAAAAGAGTAGATAAAATTCAATTTTAACATAGAGGATGGAATAAAATATTAAACTTGGTTTTATTGTGTCTTTATATTAGATTTCTTTGTTATAAAAATAATTATTACTTGGAAACACTTAATTTTTACCAACAATAAGTAAAACAATATTTGTAAAGTTTGAAATTTTTGTGGGGTAGTGAGTACGACTGCTTAACTTACAACAAAGCTAATATTTATTAAAACTTAATTATTTAAATACTTTACGAGTATCTTATACCTCGCCTGGTGGATAAGGAAAAGAAAAATAATTTTCGTACTATGTACATATTAGTTTTTATAATTTTGTTTAACAAATAATATCAATGATAATTCAGTTCCAAGACTTCCATGATATAGAAATAACTTTGCACAAATTCAGTGTTGTTTCCCTGGACATCTAATTGAATTAAAACACAAATGATTTTTAATTAAAAATTTTATATAGTTTTTTGACTTTAAATTATTTAAAACAAGTATGTTTAATTATTTTTTTCATTCGAAATAAATCAAAGTACAAATCTAATTATTTGTATTTTTACAATTACCTCTTTTTAAGAACATTTAGTTTTTTGATTAAGATAACTGGAGGTACATTTATTTATGAAATAATAAAGATAAATAATTGTTCTGAAAAATCAGTTTGGTTTCATGCATAGACTTTTTTAAACAAACTCTAAATTGAAAATGGTTATTTTAACAATGATATTTGGCAAAATGTTCAGTTCATTCAATTGAAATTTTAAGAGTAAAAATCGATATTTTTTAAAATTTATTCCCTTTATATTTCCTATTGAGAGGAAAAGCACATTTTAGCCGGTTTTTAGACTTGCAAAGAAAACCTGTTTATTTTTAGTATCAAAAATCATAATTGAGAGGTTGAGATATCTTTATTGTTGGTATTGTGTTCAATTGTTGAATAATTAGAAAAATAATTTTGCAAACCTGATTTCGTGGAAGATGGTATAGAGGACAAAGGGAAATAAAAACCATTAAAGTCGTCGCGACGTTTCGATACCTTTATTGTATCTTCCTAAGGCGAGGGAGGGAAGAACTCCTTGACTGTGCCATGCTTCTTCCCGCTCAGCCAACAAGAATTATTCGCCTGAGGAAGCTACGATAAAGGTATAGAAACGCCGCGAGGAATTTAATGGTTTTTATTTCCCTTTGTCCTGTCCTGTCCTGTCCTGTCCGAAATCAGGTTAACATATTTCAAGGACAAGAAACACAAAATGGATAATTTTGCAAATTGAAAATATTTATACACAATTGTAAAAAAAAATACATTCTACTAATTTGCAAATGCATAATAGAAACTATGGTTACCTCAAATAACTTTGAAAAATAATTTGGTCAGGACTAGTGGGTCTTCAAAAATTAATCTTTTATGACACTTTTATGACACTGGAAACCACATATCCACTTTTGATAAATTTCATATCGAAAGATATAACAATTTATTAACTTTAAATACTGAGCATAACTTGGCTAAATTTTACAGGCCTGATGTCATGTCATGCTATCTATGGAAAATTTAGATTAAAAATGTGATAAAAATTGCAAAAGCTTAACCAAACGAAATACAAAAGCTTACCATCTTTAGAAAGTTAATGGTACTCATGTCATGATCTTTTTTGTTTTGCCATGATATTTATAAATGGAAGAGTTGTCAAAAATGTTTTTAATGGACACTTCGCTTCTAGAAATTCGGATTTTTTCAATAAAATCCTAAAAAAGCCAAGTTGTCAACTTGTCAATGACAGACCCGTATTAAAACTGTCTCAACGAGTTGGTAATGTCCATTATTTACCTTTAAATCTTAAAATTTTAAAAATCTATGTAGAAAATTGATAAATAATAATACTAAACTAGTGCATCGCCTGAAATTATTTTCAACCAAACAACGTGCCACAAAAATAAGTTACAATACAAACTTATGTTTTTTAAAATTCTTTTGTAGTTGTACAAAAAGATTGTAGCTGCTTCAGTTTTTGGGTAATCATTTTTAAGAAAGAATATTTTCGTCAAAAAAACAACTTATTTGAAAAACTAAGCAAAATTGTCCAGTAAAAGTTTATCTTGAAAACATTGTAATAAAAAGCTACATCTAGAAATGCCAAAAAAACATATGGTGTTTTATTTAAAAACTATAACTTCGTATTGTAACTTATTTTTGAGACATGCTGTATAGTTGAAAATAATTTCAAGCGATGCACTTGCTTAATATTTATAAAAATGCTTTAAAATTTGAACAATTAAAGGTCAGTAATAAACTTTACCAACTCGTATATTCATCAAAGATTTTATTTGTAAAAAATGTCAGTTTCACATATCTAAAACTTACAACTTCTTCATGTAAACTACCTAATAAGAAGTATTTTCAAAAATTGCCAACATTTCTTGAAAGGCTCTTGGAAGAGTAAAATATAGTTTTAAAATCCCTTCCAGCAATTCGAAGTGTCTAACCAAAGCATCAATAATAATCAGGTGGCCCTGATAAACAGCAACGGGACGTACTCTCAATTCACAGCCCAGAATCCCGGCTGGTCCAACTCTGGAAGCACTGAATACACGTATGCACCAGCAAACGTGTCTCTTCATCAAGCAGACAGCACTCATCAACATTTCGCAAATTCGACATGGTCCAACAGTGCAACCATTGAGGATTCACCTAGAGGACAATATCGAGAGGTACATATCAAAGAATGCGTGAATTGCGGTGCCAGTGTTACCCCTCTTTGGCGTAGAGATGGTACCGGTCACTATCTCTGTAATGCTTGCGGTCTCTATAACAAAATTAATGGTGTTAATAGACCACCAGTGAGGCCTCCCAAAAAGCCACAGGCGGTAAGTTTGAATTTAGGATACAAAATTTTTGTCGTAATTTTTGTGTTGACTTTTTCCTTCATTCTTGTTGCCAAATTTATTCAATAACAGTCCAGTGGTTGTCCTTTCGGTCCTAACAACCTCATTTCATAAATTACGTTACATATTCATGTCTTAAATCTTACACTCTTTCAGTTTTTCAATATCTTCTTTATCCTTTCTTCACTCTGTAGCTTTTTGGTAGGTTTATAGAAGCAAATTTTATACACGTTTCAATTGCAAATTTAATTTAGCTAATCAGGAAATAGACTGCTACAGCTGACAACCACAGACTGCCACATTTCTGGTTCTAAAATAATCTCTAAGATTATTTTAATTTAGGAAATAGAAGTTTGAAGCATAATATGATCTAAAATAATTTTTCTTTTGTCTTTAAAGGTGTTTTAAATTCACATACTTACAAGGTTGAGTTTTAAGTACCGCCTGTTACCCCAAATTCGTATTTGCTTTTAATGTAATGTTTTTGTAAAGCTAAAAAGAAAAAATATATACAGGCTGCGCCAGAACTCACGCCCCAGAAAAAATACCATGAAACCAGAAACATGGAAAAAATGTAAAAAAAATCCATCTATAGTTATGTGAGTTTAAATTTTGGACTTTATTTCTGTTGTAAAAAAAATCCCTTTTTTTTGCTACAGGCTATTAGAAGATGAAACAAGGAAGCTGTATCCTACATTCTAACTCTGTTTAATGTTATTTGGAGATTTTATTGGCAAAATTTTTGCACCTTTACTAAATAATTAAAAAAAACAAATACAAAATCATCAGTTTTATTAAATAGACAAAAAAAATGTCAAATGTCAAAAAATAAATGTCAAAATTAAAAAAAAAATTCCATGTTCCTGGTATCTTACCTTACATGGCTTTTTTCGCTGGAGCGTAAGTTCTGGCACACCATGCATTTTATTTATTTATTTTGTCATCAAGTCTTTTTACTCTTACAATTATTCATACCTATACAGGGTGATGAAAAAAAGGCGCCCACGATTGAAACAGGCGCGTCCTTTTTTATTGAAACATTGTGACCATCATTCCAAAAATAGTCTAAATAGATTCTTTTTAAAATTTAAACAGTTTGTCTAACAGCACAAAGCGGCAATATTGCAAAAATTTCTTTTACTAAAAAACTATTTCATTCAGGTATTTTTCGTATCTAGGAAACCTTTTTGACTTTAATCGTTCGAATTTCACAGAACAAACAACATTGAAAATTAATTTTTTTGTTGTCACCGTTTCCAATAATTGAATATTACTTGGACATTTTCTGTATCCTAGGATATTTGCAATGTTGCAACATTGATAAATTTTCTTTGGAGCCAAGAAATGGTATCCAAACATCTTCAATAAAGTTTATTTCAATAGACTTTTTACTCATTTTTCTTAAGAACACCGTCAACAGTATTAAAATCTAGACTTAAACAATGAAATTATTTTAAAACTGTTAATTATATAGATTTCTCTTTTCTAAAAAGGAAAGTCTATATCTTACTGATAAGAGCACAAATCCAATTTTGGTCTTCGAATTCATTTTTAATAAAAGATGACTTATAACGTGTGGGTTAACACGGGCGCCTTTTTTCATCATACTGTATATACAGCTTTTGAAATCTTAGTAAATTTTCATTAGGTTTTTATCATGATTCATAAGTTCTAGGGCAATTATTGTACACCGTGAAATCTTATCATTTTCTATCATTTTCTAAGATTACAGCACTAGTTTCACTAATACAGATGGTTAAACAGGTTTTTAGTGATAATAATGTTATTTTTTTAAATATGTACAGAGAGTGTAAAAGATGTGCAGTAGATAATACATAAGTGTTTCTAATCAGCACAAAATTTGATTTTTTCCAATAAACCAATACTATTGATTCGAGTACTTTTCCATTTCATTTTAGTCACGTAGACATACTTATAATATTGCTATAGTTATGACACCAACACGAAAATATACATTTTCAAGTAAAAAAAACACACAAAATGTGTTTGCTTTAAAAATGTAGCAAAAATAGGTCGGTTTTGTGTACTTTAGTGATAAGAGGTTCTACGAAATCGAGTTTAAGATCTTCGTACTTATGTCTGATGCACAAACTTTATAAAATTCTTATTTGTTTATGAACGATGTGACAGCCTTTTTTGGTATATAGCAAAATGGACCAAGACGAAACGGAGTCCAATGTGCGAATTGCAAAACAGGCAATACCACACTTTGGAGAAGAAACAATCAGGGGGAACCAGTCTGTAATGCCTGTGGATTGTATTTCAAACTACACGGGGTAAGTAATTGCTTTTAGAAAAAAAATCAAGAAGTAAACTAATATTGATTGTGTCAACATTTGTTGAATTCGCGACGATTTCCGGTATTTGTCTCCACCAAATGATTCAACGAAATTGTGACCTAGCTTTTCTTTTTATTAAACCGGAATAGGAAAAGGAAACCACCCCTTTCAAGGGTATGAGTAGTTGTTTGAAAAGTCCCATTGTTAATTATTTTTTCCGGAAAAAGTTTAATACGTAGGTATACTTAGGTGTTTGCTGAAAATTGTAGCTTGTTATTTGGAACATTTGAGGTGTGGACATGTTTACTTAATCTGACGTAATTTTTATTTGACGCCAGAGTAAACAAAAACTTTTCCCTGTTCTTTTTTGGTTTTGTACATTTTGTGTCAATATCGGGATATATTTGTCGATGACAACACACTCACTGATAACGACATCGACACGGCTTATATTTTATAAAAGCTGTTAATGGAAATCTCAACAGATGAAACATAAAATTGTGTTACTTTTTTGGTAGTTTTGCATAATCGGCCATTGCCAAAAATCAGACAATCTGTCTGGAAGCTAATCTTAGATACAAAATATTTATATGATATGCCGTATCTTACTTGTTCAAAATATCAGTTTATCCGGGGTTGATGCATTTTACTATCATTTTGATATAGTAGTTATAAAAACAAAAAAATCTCTGGTAAATATAAGATATAGTATCTGTTACGTTTCCAAGATAATGTTCATTCATGCTACAATTTTTGATAATAAAACAATTGCAGGTAAACCGACCCCTAAGTATGAAAAAAGAAGGCATTCAAACCCGCAAACGAAGACCAAAGAGCTCCAACTCTCATAATCAACCAACTCCAAGTACCAGTCAAGGATTAATGCAAAATCGAATGGGTACAGTTTAAATAATTAATTTGATTGATTTCGTAACATTTATTTAACTAAAATTATTTTTTTTATTTTCTAAAACCTTGTTGAAAGAAGAATTTTGTCATTTAGGTGATAATAATCTGAGTGCTGTGTAAATAATCCTAACTGACAAGCGAGTGATAAGGATTGAGTTAATTTTATATATTTTCCCCTATTATCACTGTTAACACATATACAAAACACATCTATACCTACTATATTAATAGAGTGTGTTACATGTAATTTATTTTAATGGTATTTTTTTTTCAAAAATGTTAATTTTTGAATTATTTTGAAACAGTTATTTAATCTACTACGCATTAGGTATACTAAGTGTGTGTTACAAAAACTTACGACATCTTTATTTACTCAATAGATGTAATCATACATCACTACCATAAACTAAGTATATTATGTTTAAGTAAGATTTTAAAGATAAGAATAATCTTAAAAATATTAATTTAATGCAGAAACTTAAAAGGCCACACATTTTTTTACATACATCTTTTATATTTAGTTGCAGTTCCTCATCATGGATATTTTCCTCCAAATATGCATGAAGTTCCTTCCGATCAGTACCAATTGCCTGTAACAACCTATCAAATAAATCAGTACCATCAAAGACTTCCAGGAGCTGAGCAACTCACAAGACAAATTCCGCAAAAGTAAGAAACACTTTTTTAAAAAATTGGAAACAATATACAGAGATTTTTTGTAAAAAGGATCTACCTTCTCAGTCTATTAAAAATAAAACTGTCAATCCGTTATTAGTGGCAGGCAGCCAGATATACACCTTCAAAGAAAACGTCAAATTGTGACGATAATTAAAATATCAACAATAATTATTAATTATTAATTATTTAAACTCACTGTGTTTTATATAAGAAACTAAAAAAATGTATCAGAAATTTCAAAGTTTTCTTTATAAAAACACAAAATCTGTACTCGTCTTTAACAATAAAAAAACCTTTATCATAATCTACAGTATGTCCCCGGATTGAGTTTACAAAAAAACAAGTTTTTTTATCGTTGATTTTACGCTAAAATCACAAAAAAACGTTTTTTACTTTACCTGAAATGAGCAAATCTGAAATTAAAACAACGATGTCACTTTGAGAAATGAGTTTGCGCTAGTTAAATAATAAAAATGTTTGTGGAAATATTAATTTTAATAAATGAAAACTAAAAACAGCTTTAAGATAAAAATTGTAAAGTAATTTTTAACAACAATCATTATTATTCAATTAATTAATTAATTATCAAAGTGACATTGTTGGCAAAAAAATAGAACCATCATTGTGATGGATTTAAACAGCAGAGAAAAATTATTATAAGTTTAAAATTAAGTGAAAAATCAACTTTTCTTCTTACTGAATCAGAATAAAGAAAGATTTGCTCGTTTTAGATGAAGCAAAAATGTTTTTTCTTGGCAGTTTTTGCGTAAAATTATAGATTTTTTTTTCTTTTGTAAACTCAATACGGGGGCATACTGTATAATGATTTTAATTGCTTGGAAAATAACTAGAAAATAGCTGAAAAGTGTGTCTTAGATTTTAATATTTGTATAACAGAGTATTAATGTATTTTTAGCGCACACACAAAACGATTTAACGATTTTAAATAAGAAAATAGTTAAAATACACATTAGTGTTATTTTGAGCTGTATAGTTGGTTGCTTTTCACTCAATGGTGTTTACAATTTTTTGAAAGTACAGAAGTAGACATAGGATTATTGTGAAATGTGACCTATGTATTATTTCGAATAGTTTTATTTAAACAGAAATTATAAAGTTCATAAGTTTGACTAGTTTTGTAGTAAAATTAGATAAAAAAATTGCAGCTAATACAGAAATTTTTATCTGAAAATATGACTTATTCTAACTGCAAAGCTTGTAAATAAGCTTTATTTAGAACTCTTTGTGCCCTCTAGTGAGAATGTTTTTAAGCATTCAAATATGTTTTCTGTAACTCAACTTCTTAAATTATGTTTTTAATTTTATAAACTAGAAGAACTAAACTTAGTATTTAACTATAATAAAATATTAGTTTTTCCACAGCGTAACTCCACTGGAGCCGATTCAAATATCGCAAAGCGATGAACAAACCAGTGTTATAACATCAACATCACAAAATGCTCGCTTTCGGCATCAAGACGACGAAGAGGATGACTCTAATCCCAATGCTTGAAAACTTGTTCCAACAACTTGCGATGTTTTTGGATGTAAATAATCTAACGTTTTTATTTTTTTTTATTAAGTTTAATTTTAGCTTACGAATTTTTCAAAAAATCTTTGAATTTTTTGTCAAACTTTTCTATTTATCCAAAAAAATCGTAAATGACATGGAAAAATAATAAATAGTTTAGTACATAGTACAGTGATGGACAATATAATCGCGTACACTGTAAGACCCAAGTAACACATTTTTTCCAAATTTTCCAATGTGAAGCTTGTCTTTTTCGAAGTTTCAAAATATTTTTAGATTACTTGTTTCCATCTTTTTTTCACTCTTTAAATTGTGATTTTGTTTAAACTCTATTAGCCTGCAACTGCTTTAGCCGAGGTTATACTGTGCGATCAAAAAAAAAATAAATGAGGCGGTGATTAAAGTCCTTCAGATGGCAATCCTGATTTTTGACATTAAATGTCAGCGGAAACTTTGATAAGTTTGCGTTTTATTCATTTTGAGTGAAATAATGTTCACTTTAAAGCAGAAAGTTTTTATTGCTATACAAGACGAAAACGGTAAATGGTTATTTTCACTTTCAGTTTGTGTGGAAAATTTCCAGCTCAGATTCCCAGCCAATGTGTTGCCAACTGTAGAATTTAATCTACTCTAATTTATTAATTTTTTTGATCGCACGGTATATCCCTCATCTAGTTTAGACAGTATAAAAGTTTTTTTCCCTTGAGTAAGTTTTGGCATTTCTACTATTCGACACTGATTTATTTATGTCACGCTAATGCTCACTTCTTTCAGGAAAAAAATGTTGTACGCGATTTTATTGCCCGTCATTGTAAATATGTACATACATACAATACATACACATTTAAAGTCGCGGTTATTCATAGTGACCACTTCCCTGTGTAAATTTTTAAAAATTGAGTTTTGTAAATCCGACTTTAAACATCCAATTGTTTTTTTAGAGACATATCTATCAAAACTTTTGAAAAAGTTTTGAAAAATACTTCACTTATAAAATTGTTGACACAATTTAGTTAATTCTGATGCCAACATGGACATAATTCATGCACTAGAGATGGCGAGCTAGAAGCTGCCAACTTTGCAATAAATTAAATAAATTAAATGGCCACCATGAATTGACCGCGATTATAATCCAATTTACTTATTTAATCAGGCATTGGTTACCATACTGTTGCTAGTCACTTTTTAATTAATTTAATTTGCCATAAAGCAAATCGTATTTTTAATAATATTTAATATTAGCTTTTGTGTTTGCTGTTTTTGTCCAAAAATAACAAAATATTGTACTTTATTATGTTTAAACTGTGATAATTCGAATTTTTTATTTCCATATTGTCAATGTTTGGAGTATGTGAAATTTGTGCCATTATAAATTGTTACTAAATTATACAGGGTAAAGGATCCGCATTATTTATTGTAATTGGCTTTTTAATATAATAAAAAATACATAGTCTTTTTTTATACTCACCTATGACTAACAAAAGAAACATTTTAATTTTTATAAAAAAAAGAAATATGTAGATACCTAGGTATTTTTAGCGTAAAAAATGTTGTAGTCGTAATTTGATTTTTAGCAAAAATTACATTATACAGCGTGATCATTTAGGACTGTTTAAGTTGGCAACAGATTTCAAAGTATTTTTGTTAATAATTTGTAACACTGCAACCAGATACCGTTATGCTTGACACTTACTTTAAGACAAATACAACCCCACAAGATTGTTCAATTGTTGTTAATCAAAAGCATACTCTAGTGGTTATCATTAAAAATTAAAGTCAGAATTGCCTACAAATTCATTCATTCTTGATCACTTTGTATTTTATTTAGGTACATACAAATTACCTAAAGTCTGTTTTTTTTTAAATGGAAATGCCAAACAGTCTTAACGTTGGCACCACTAGTAAATTCATTCATGGTAATTTTAATAAATGAAGTTGGCAGTTCCGGTTTTTTGAATTAATTTGGAAACAATGTCATTAAACGTCAATACAAAAAATCGTTTAAGAAAATTTAGAGACGAAACACCAAAAAAGAAACAAATTCGGTACACTAACAGTTTTTCGAAATTTGGAAACGAATAGTTCGCAAGCAGGAAGTTAGAAAAAGGGTCCGTTAAAATGTAGACGCAATTTGTAATGCAGGTTTGGTAAACATTCTTAATTTTTAGCAAAAAAATTGACAAGAATACAAAATATACATGAAAGAACCTCGGAAAGAACGCAATTAAATTAGTGACTTGTGCATCGTTTTTGAGGAACGAGTTGAAAAAGTAACAATTTTGAAACTAAATGCATCAACTTTGAGCTCATGTCAATCAATTACACAAAATTTATGGCGGATCATCATAATACATACTTGTATCTTTTGCTTAATAACTTTTTTCTGTATCTACATCCTTTTTCTTCAAAGTTTTTGGACCAAGAACCTCATTTTTGTCCACAACATTGTATACTTACTTGCGGTGTGTTTCTGTCAAAATTATTAACACTGAATTCTGTCTTTAGACCTTAGGTAATGATGCCTGTCCTCAGGTATTCAATTATAGCGCTTTCAAAGAGCAAATAGGCACACAAGATTCATAAAAGTCAAAATTTTGACAGCGTCTCAATTTGAACACATAACCATATTTTTTTAACAAAATTTCTAGGGACAAAAACAAAGAGCAAACAAATTTTGTGGCTATGGAGACAAGCGGCTACCAATTTTTTCACCAAAATTTTTACTTGGTAATTTCCATCAAAAAAAAACAGAGTACTTTCCCAAAATATCATTATTTTTTAGATTCTATGATTAGGACTTTTGTTGACTCATTTTTTTCCACATGTAAAAATTAATGTAATTTTATTATTGTACCGACTTTTTACTGATTTGGTGGGGTTTTCTCTAAGAAGAGATATTTTATAAAAGGAAAAAATGGTTTGTTTGTTAAATAAGCTGTAAGTGGATATTCGTGCAAGATTCGGTTCCTGGAAAAGTAGAACTGTCGCGGGCTATAATTTATTGACTGGATTGCAGAATGCAAACGAGATTCGATAAGCCATGCTTATGTTGTTCATTTTGGGTGGACACTAAATATTTTCGTTATGTGAATATTTAGGAAAAGTTGATTTTACAATTGTAAAACACACAAGTAAGTAAATAATTTATATGTTTTCTTGTTTTGGATATTATTTTTATTTTAGGTAAATGGGTAAATCGGTATGTTTTACAATGAAACACAGATTATTTCATTAATAATTTTCAAAAATTATTTTTATTTACTCAAGAAATTACAGACGTCTGCGTGAAATAAATAAAATTAATTACTCCTAGCAATCGGCTTCTTCTTCTTTAAATCCTAAAAATTGATAATTACTCCTACTTACTATACATATTTCCTACTCATATACTAACAAGAATTAATTGTCTGATAATCTCTGTTAAGTAAATTTTCATTTTCTTAAGTGCGTTTATTTTTCAGAGATATCTTGAAACGGCTGTTATTTATCAACACGCTGGTTTGTTTCCTTACTCGTAATGCATGCAAAAATTACAAAATTTTGTAGTAAAATTTAAGATTAATTATTATGAGTAGGTATTAGAAAGTATTTTTAAATCAAATAAGTATATTAAACTTAAAACTAGAAATAATCGTCAATAGTTTAAAAAGTTTATCGTCTGTAAATTATAACAATTATAAAAAAGAATATACACTATAAATTTAAAAAATACACAACTGTGAAAATATTTAAATGCAACATTAAAGCTGGAGAACACTTTCAAAAAGCAGTTTGTCCAAATTTGCATATTTTCGGGAGAGAACAAGAACTGTCTTTTATTAGAGATAATTTTAGGTTTTTATATCAGTGACAATAAATATGAAAAAATATGTACACATTGGATACAATTGGACACTAATTTTACGGCAGGAGTACTTAGGCATTAAAAAAAAAACTTTAAAAACTTTTATCTCAATTCATAAAAACATGGACAAACTGCATTTTGAAAGTCTGTTCTTCATTTGTAGTACGAAAAAAAAACAATACTTCCAATAAGACGAGATATTGTAAAAAAAAGATAAAATGTATAGCTATCAAGACAAGAAAACAAAAACTATAAAACTTATGTTGTCCTGAAAAATTTTTCCTACACCAATATTGGATCACACTAAATTATAAAAAAAATTGTCAAAATAATGTCAAAATTGACATTATTTTATGTACTTATACGACGATTAATTCCGGACCTTTTTATTAATCATTTGACGCGAAATAATTGTATTTTTTGATTGGTACCATCATCTTTACTTGTAGGTTGCATTAGCAAGCAGGAATCAGCAAAAATATACAATACCATGTTAAATCCCTATGTTTGCGATTTATCCATGTTTCAGAACATGTGATCATGTTTTTTTCCAGAAGCATTTTTCTGAAAAAAATCGAAAAAAAACCTACATTTTTGATCACATTCAATCAAAATAATGTAGTTTTCTTAAATAAAATGATTTTGTATGCATACACATAATTTATTTTATTTCTCCATATAGAAGTCAAAATCATCATTGGCAAACGTATTTCATACCTCATCAAACTGCATCAAATTTTTTCAGAATGACATTAATGACACTTTTTGTGTGAAGCGGCCTTTAAGTTAAAGATGCATTTAGACCTTTACAACCTGCTTGATGCACAATTGCACATTAATATGAAAAAGAGTATAGGACATTCAGTCATTCTTGTCAAAATATATTTATTTATTTATTTATATTGTACATTAAATTCAACAAGAATCACATCAGCAAATTATGCAGCACTATATCAAAATCCTCCTAATGTTATTTTCGTTTGGTTTTTTTAAAACACTTGTTTTTCACTTTTTCTTTACTCGTTACCTAATACTTTTTTTTGATTATGATTTTTTTTATGTAAAATTTAGTAATTTGTTGTAATTTTGTGTTGTTTTAAGTCGCTATAACAATATTTTCATAAAATTAAAAAAATATTTTAAGGTGAGTTTTTTCTATTCTATGAGTATTACAGTAAAATGATAAATGGTGAAAGATACAATTTTCAAAAGAAATCTAAAATTGTGAAATATGTGTAACAACTCACGAGTGCCATATAAAACGTTTTTATTCACAATCACTCATGTAATATGCCGATTACTAACCTTTTAAAGGTTGGGAAACACATCATTAAATCTCATGAGCCGTAATATCATTTTATTTCTTAGGCGGTAATTGCAGGTTTGCCAACGTTAAGGTAAATAATTTTTTCTTTCAAATTGTCAAGTTACGCATAATATTTTGATAAATTACTTAGTATTCAATTGCTTCTGTAGCAGTTTTTCTCACTTCTGAAGGAGTACACTGCTCCATCATTTCAACAATTTTAATATCAGATTTACTTCACATTATTTTAATATTTTCTTTGACATTTCTGAAATGTCAAAAATCAAACGTAATTTGGATGGCCTACCACGTTTGGACCCTAATTTTTTTATCAAAAA